TACAAAGAGGAGGACCCTATAACGAAGCGTACAAAAATATGGGCTCTTTTTGTTTTTGTTGTTGTTGTTTTGCTTTTGTTTGTTTTTGTTTTTTGCTTTTGCTTAATTCAAGTTAAGTTTTTTCTCATCTTTATGAATTCTATAGCTACCAAAATGTCATCATATTTTTTTAGTAGTTGTGTTTTTTCAGAGGACAAAATTGGATTCCCCAGCTTTATTCATTATATATTAGCATAAGCATGCATCTTTTGGAGTGCTTCATCAGAAAATGTCATTAAAAGTAAAAGTGATATATGCAACACATGGCTCAGCACCTTGCATAGGAAAGTGACTTTGGAAAAGTTGATTTTTTTTATGCCCTGGCTTATTATTTATAAGGTGTGTGCGTGTGTGTGTGTGTGAGAGAGAGAGAGAGAGAGAGAAAAAATAAGTATTTGTGTGTGTATAAGAGTATTGTGTGTGTGCATGTTAATTTGAGTGAATATAAGAAAATGTGTGTGTAAATGTATGTATAGGTATATGTCTGAGTACATACATATAATTCTGTCTATGTATGTGAGTGAATATTTGTGTGTTGTGTTTGCATAAGTGAATGTGTTTATGTGTGTCAACATGTATATCTGAGTGTATGTGTTCATATGAGTATATGTGTATATGTTTATGTCTGAGAGTATAAGTGTATGTTTGTGAGTATGTATATGTATATGACTATATTTGTGTGTATATGTGTGGTAGTTTGAATGTAATTGGCCCCCACAAGTTCATAATGCATCATTAGGAGATGTGGCTTTATTGTAGTCGGCATGATCTTGTTGGAGGAAGTGTGCCACTGTGGGGGCGGGTTTTGAGGTCTCCTTTACTCAAACTTTCCTTAGTTTGATACTCAGGCCATTTACTGTTGTCTGTGGGTCAAGATGGAGGACTCTCAGGTCCTTCTCCAGCACCATGTCTTCCTGTATGACACCATGTCCCACCATGATAATAATAGACTAATCTCTGAAAATGTAAGCTACCCCCATTAAATGTTTTTCTTTATAAGAGTTACCATGGCCATGGTGTTTCTTCACAGCAATAGAAAGCTTAAGACAGTATGACTATCTGTGTGACTATTACAATACACATGTATGTGTGTGACTGAATGATGTTGAATTCCCTCTGTATTCTGTGAATACCATTAGTGAATAAAGAAACTGCCTTGGCCTGTTGATAGGGCAAAACTTAGGTAAGCAGGGAAAACTAAACTGAATGCTGGGAAGAAGAAGGCAAAGTTAGGAGAAGACATGAAGCTCCACTAGAGACAGATGCTGGAACTTTAGCTAGTAAGCCACAGCCACATGGCAATACACAGATTAATAGAAATTGGTTAAATTAATATGTAAGAGTTAGCCAATAAGAAGCTAGAGCTAATGGGCCAAGCAGTGAATTAAATAATATAGTTTCTATGTGATTATTTCAGGGTTGAGCAGCCAGGAACAAGTGGCCTCCCTTCAACAACTGAATGTGTGTTTATTTATCTGAGCATATGTGTGTGCATATGAGTTAATATGTTTGAGTGTATGTATGTGTGAAAAATATATATAGTGGGTTAGTGTGCATGTCTGAATATATGTGGATATGTATGTATGTAGGAGTGTATGTGTGAAAGAATGTATATAGTGGGTTAGTGTGTGTGTCTGAGTATATGTGGATATGTATGTATATATGAGTGTGTGTGATAGAATGCATATAGTGGGTTAGTGTGTGTGTCTGAGTATATGTAGCTATATATGTATGTAGGAGTGTGTGTGTGAAAGAATGTATATAGTAGGTTAGTGTATGTGTGTGAGAATATGTGGATATATGTATACATAGGAGTGTATGTTCTCTGCATGCACAGCTGAGTTTTGGAGGTTGCCAAGGGAATCACAGGAATGGAGTGTATCAAATAAACTCAGGATTAAGGAAAAGTTTTAATTTATGGTAAAAACTTGACTGTCCAGTTTTGAGACTGTGAGTGAAGTATAACATATTTATCATGATAATCAGGGATGCATGTTATAATCGCTAGTGTAATGAATGAAATAATAGTGAAAGATTGCAGATTACCAAGCCAGTAGAAACTTACATCTAAATTACAAATAGCTGCTCAATCCAAAAGAACAGATGAAAATACATACAAAAAGCAGCTGGAGTCAGCAAAAAACAGACAGTGGATGACAGATATACACTCACATAGAAGCAACTAAAGAAATACAAACAGATTAAATGTTCCTAACAGTTTTATGAATAAATTCTGGATCAAATTCCTGTAAAAATACAAAATTGCTTAAAATTAATAAATAAAGAATTAGAAAACCTTCATTGTTATTATCTGTGTGAGGAACTGAGTTCATTTCCAATAACCATATATAAAGAAAACCCTCGACCTATGTGACTTTAGTGTGAGCTCTCCAGAAAAAGTGCCATAAGAAGTTAAAAACCTAAAAAAATTAAAACCTGTAATACATATAAGTCTGTGTTTAAATTACATAGAGTTTAAATAAAATTTTCTCATTCTCTACAAGAGCCAAAAATCATTTAACAAAAAAAGCCCAACACCAGTCCTAAGAACCCCTTGTTTGAGTCTTTGGTCAGGGTTGTCCAAGAGACTTCCAAAGCATTACTATTGCTCTTGCTTGCCCCACAGAGAGGGAAGCTAAGGTCGTATTGCTGAAGACACCATGCACATCAAAAACAATATCCAGAGGCCTCTGAGCTGAAACTGACCCAAATGTCTCCTCCCTGAAGACTAGCTTTCATGGCACCAGGAGGTACCATGCACTCTTCCAAAGGAGGAAGCAACCAACCGTTAACCCAGCTATGACTCCTATGAACCACAACAAAAACTAGTGTAGAGTGATAGCCCTGAGGGTGCAGTACTGGTTCATATGCCTTGGCAGTAACCAATGACTCTTCTAATTGGACTAAAGACCAACTCAACCAGAAGGAAGCTATGCTTGGTACTAGGAATCTAGCCAATTACCCAGGGCTAGTGAAGTCATGCCTCTTGGAGGAGAACCTACAACCACCACTTTACAAAATCAGCATAATCCTTAACTACATCCTAAATATTTGTCCTTAAACAAATAGAAAAATGTAGCCCTTCCCTTCATAAAGGAAATTTTTCTTTGCAATAGATGGAGACTATTAGAAATCAGATGTACTCCCAGGCTGCCCTCAGGGACTCAACCACTCAGCAGCTACGTCATCACTTGTCACCAACTCTTACAAAGGTCTCTGGCATCCTAGATCATTCTCTTGCTTCTTCTCTGTCTTCTAGTCTCTTTCTCTCTCTCTCTCTCTCTCTCTCTCTCTCTCTCTCTCTCTCTCTCTCATCCCCACTCCAATATGGTCTTTCACTCTCCTCTACCCCAATAAACCTCTCGCATGATTATATTGCTTGGTGTGATCTCTTTGAAGCACACCTTGGCCCCAACTCGTCAAGGTATTCTGTCACTAAATCTTAACAGAGACCATTACAGATAACTACAGTCAATCGAAATGCAAAGTTGTGGAGCTGAGTACCAAAAGAAACTGTGATAAACCATTCAGGGATGGGGGTAGCAGAAAGATTGTAGGAGCCAGAGGATCAGGGAGTTTGCTATAAGATTATGTCTCCCAGTAATGTCAGCAGCTACACCAATAAAATCTCCCCAACATGGCAGACCAAATGTGAGCTGAAGAAATACAATAGACATGCTAATGAGGATGGAGAAAAACCCAAGAGGCTTCAACCTAAGACAAGGAAATAGGCAACTAAGGCATGTGATGAGTAAGAGAAATGGTCTTCCCCACAGAAGAGTAATCCAACTGAAACATATATACAAGTAACATTATACAGACTGAGAAAGTTGTATTTATATATTTAGGACTATGCACATACATATTTGTATGCAACATTAATTAATGAAAAAAGAGGCCATGAATTTGAAAGAAAGCAAGGAGGGTTATGTGGGAGTATTTGTAGGGAAGAAAGGGAATCTCAAAAATAAATAAATAAATAAATAAATAAAACAGGCAATTGTAATAGACACAATGTTGGGTGGATACAGAAAGGGGGAGAGTGTGGGAAGAGCTGTGGGAGTGAGCAGGATCTAAACACATTACATGAAATTCTCAAAGACCTAATAACAATATTCTTAAATTTCAAAAATAGTAAATGTAAAATATTTTGAGGCTTAGGATTTATTTGCTATAGTAGCAAATACAGAAAAAAAAAGAATTATCAGCAACTGTTAATTAACCTTCACTTGATGAGATTATCACAAAACAGGATCTGAACTCCCTTGGGCACCTGTGAGAACCAATGTACTATTAGCCATGCGGAAGTCAGTGTGTGGGATACCAGTTATAAAGTACCTGAAAACTCAGCTCTGTTCTTCAAAGACAACTTTGTGAACTTACTTAGCAATACTGGCATCAGTAATCTAATCTAAACATCAGGACAGAAACTCTAATTCAGAGTAGTCATAGTTATACAATATAATATTCAAACTGTGGTCCACAGGATCAAAGAGATATAACTAGAGCTATATAACTATTTCCTAAATAACAATGTGCTTTATTATAGAGAAAAGACTTTGAAAATGGAGCAAAACTATTTACCTTACTAATTCAAACCCAGGTTGCTGAACCTAGCCAATGAGATGTTAACTGCACAAGTGACTCCAACGGTCCTGATACCCCCTCTCTGCACCGTTCTGTTTCTCAAAGATTTAATCTGAGTTGCCTACAAGAACAATATTGAGCTATTTTAAACAGAGAAAACCATGGAAGGATAAAGATAGACTACCGTATCGGGTTGGCCGAACATCGAGCTCATTACACAGTACCTATTTCCATTCCCATCTCAGGTGTGAAAGTCTGAAACTAGCAGAAAATGCTCATGCAACTCACGATTCCAAAATGGTCCTTTGTAAATATTCAAAATATTTAACATATGACCTTAAGAAAATGACAGTGCAGTGGTTATAGATTTATACCTTGCAAACTGTATCCATATCCCAAGGTGTGATTGTCCGCAGGTCAATGATTTCGCAAGACACTCCAAGCTTTTCTCGTGCCATGGAAGCCACCTCCCGGATGACGTGAACCTGAAAGTGAGGGGAAATACACAGAGAATAACTAAAATAATTCAGCCCTGAAAGTCTAGGTGGCTGTCAGCGTCATTCACAATGATACTCTCTGCAGCTGGAGAAATGACCTTCTGGCAGAATTTAGAAAGGTGTTTTAGGTATGTTGATCCCGATGTCACAAAGACAATCAAGGAAAAATATCTAGAAATCAATTAGAAAGAAGTGCTAGTAAAAGGGAAGAAATACTCATTCCAAAAGCTCAGAAGGCAAATAAAGTCAGAGACAAAGGCAGGTTGTCTAGGGAGCATATACAGAGAGAAAACCCACAAGACCACCAACGTTTAAAGAAAAAAAATGGCAAAACAAGAGTTCTAAAAATAAACAAACAGCTAAAGAAACTGAAAAGGTTAAAAAAACAAAAAAGGCAATATCTCCCAAAAGCTAAAGACAAGAAGGTTTCAGAGACAAAGTAACCGGTATCCACACCAAATAAGAAGTGGCAGGTTTCGGAACTAGAACAGGACTAGAGAGAAGGCTCGGGGGTAAAGAGCACTTGCAGCACCTGCAGAACACCTGGGCTCAATCCTCAGCATCCTATGTGGTGGCTGACAACCAGTCCAAAAAAAAGAGGGAAAGTTGGTTTGGAAGTAGAGAATTATGACACCAAGCCCTGCCGCAACAGCTGGAAGAAGTCAAATGAAACTATCACTGGGTCATTTGAGAGGGGGGGTCCACAGGTCAGCAAAGCACTCCTGAGAAGGAGCAAAAGACAAGGTAAGAAAGCTATCAAGGCAACATGTTATACGGACATGCAATATGAGCTGCAAAGGTGTTCATAATGGACACAGCTGTGTACACCCATTTAGTACCTCCATAGGACTGAACAGGCACCGCCCCTCCACCCAGAAGGCATTACTACACCTGCCAGTCACAAGATGAGTAAATTCCGAGGAATGAGTGTGCAGCATAGAGACGAAGCTAACAAAACTGTGCTGCTTATAAACTGGGCACAATGATGGTGAGAGTCTGTAATCTCAGCGCATGGGAGGTATAGGCAGGAGGATCAGAAGTTCCATACATAACTACGAGGCAAGACACCCCCCATTAAAACCATGACCCTGAACAGCTGTGGATGGCTGCACTTGGTCTATCAAGGGCCAGTCACAAATGGATGACGAGTTTAGGGGATCTCACTGTGGGAACTATTTCTACTGACAGATTAATGGGGAGGGGGAATCTCTGCTTTCAGACTGGCGAGCCCACTAGGATCCAATGGAGAGTTCCAATCCATTGCTCACACGGATGCCCCTGTGGTGAAACTAAATCTGTGGGTGACAGAACGAAACCCAAAGTCATAAGTCAAAGAATGAGACTGAGCAGCATAAAGGGGGCGGAGTAGCAATAGGATGAAAGAGAGATGAGAGAGGGTTAGGGAATGAGAGCAGTCACAAAGCATTATATACTTGTATGAAACTGTCAACATAGAAAATTAACCAAACATAAAAATAAGTTAAACCCTGCTTTTAAAAAAATTGGAGCCAGGTGGTGGTGGCATCCGTACGCCTTTAATACCAGCACTCAGGAGGCAGAGGCAGGTGGATGTCTGTGAGTTCGAGGCCAGCCTGGTCTACAAGAGCTAGTTCCAAGTCAGGCTCCAAAGCTACAGAGAAACCCTGTTTCTAAAAACCAAAAAAAAAAAATTTACAAGTTGGCTCATTTACTTTAAATTTGCTCAGAGCAGATTATATGTCTCGGTCTGTACATACACACATACACATGCACTGCAGTAACGAACTGTTCATCAATTAAGTCAGCACTTGGCAGCACAGGCCTACGTGGAATCACCATGCTGTGCACCTTAAAGCATTCTTATCTGTCAGTTACACCTTACTAACGTTGGAGGTGAGGATGGACATCATCAGCACGAAGAGACTAACTTCATCAGAGAGACAGAGAGAACACACCGGAATCACAAACCAACGCGCCCCCAGCACAGTGTGGGCTCCGCGGGTGGTCAGGGTGACTGACCTGAGTGCCCCAGGCAACCAGAGTCACATCACTGCCCTCCTGGATGACTTCAGCCTGAGACAGGGGGATCTTGTAGGGTTCAACTGGGACCTGTTCCACTAAATACAGAAGAGAGAAAAACAAAAGTTAGATAATGCTCCTCACATGACACTTGTGTCTTAAGGACTGTAAGAATCTCACCGCAACAGGTTCTCATTGAACCTGTTCATTCAGCATGAACATTTCATGCTGAAAGCTTCATGTAAAATACAAATTTATTATATAGTTCCATGATATCACTACATAGATAAATATATGCAATTCATAAAATATAGCATCTACCCTGAAACATGAAAGACTACAGTTAGAAACTGAATATATCTTATTGACAAAAATCTAATATTTTTTATTATTTTTTTGGGGGGGGTTGTCAAGACACGGTTTCTCTGTTCCGCAGTCCTGGCCATCCTGGAACTCATTCTGTAGACCAAGCTGGGTCAAACTCACAGAGATCCATTTGCCACTGCCTCCTGAGTGCTAGAACAAAGGTGTGAGCCATCACCTCCCAGCTGAAAGTGAATAAATCTTAATGGTACATGTTTTAGACCAACTTAACTCATCAGTGTTGGCTAAGTATAAGAATTTAGCATACAATGGTAAGATGATGGCAAAGGAAAATGGATGGACTGTGGCGGATGGGATTCTCTGCATTTTGTACTTCTTGCATTTAAATTTAAAACCGATATTTTTAAAATGCTCATAGTGTGGGTCCAGTGGAACGGCTCAGCACATGACAGGTCTTGCAGCACAAGCCAGGTGACCTGAGTTCAATCCCCATGACCCACATAAAGATAGGCGAAGAAAAGCACCTGATTAATGTCCTCCACTTCCACTCACACATTGTGTCAAGCACACATGGAATAATGTAAAAGTTAACTTTAAAAGAATTTTAAAAATGATTACCAAATCTGCCAAAACCCTATCGGAGAGCCGTAAACTCTCAGATCAGTTTTTCTTTCAAGCAGAAAATTTACGAGCCTTTGAAAATTTGGGGGGGGGGGGGGCGCACAAAATAGGATTAAACTTGTATTTCATTTTTGTACTATGCATCAATGAACAATGTTACCCATAAGTGACCAACACCCTACAGACCTCACAAAGATTAACCAAATCAGTTTCACTAGGCCAAAGAGAGAAGATTAATCCACTGGTATCCCAGGGGAAACAATTCTATCATTTTTCTAGTAATCAAGCATGAGCAATTGTCAGGTGAATTTTCAAATGAAATTAAGTAGGGATTTGACAAATCTGCCCAGCTTAGACGCTCTGAGGTTCTTCTGTGAAAGCCGCAGTGTGGTAGGGGCACTCGGGAAAACTGCTGCTCTCCTTTCTCACCCCACCCCCTCGCCGCATGAAGCTGATCTGTGTACTTCTGCTCTGCATGCAAAGAGCAAAAAGGAGAAGATAAAATACAACCTTGCGTCTGCCATCAATGCTAACAATTTCCTGGATGTCTCCAATATACAGCACCCATTTCCCCCTCTGGATTTGATTCTCTTTCCACATTTGATTCTCTTCCGCTTATTAGGAGGCAGATTCCTGAGTTACACAAGCCTCCTCCCCCAACCCCCGCTTCCCTTGCAGCTATATCTGGAAACTCTCTGCCGATCTATAGATTCTAATTTGGAAGCTGAAGACATGAATGAAAAAGCAAGTGTTCAGAATAATTCTAAAGTGCTTCCTGCAGGCTCAGTGGCCTCAATAAAGCTACTGCAGTGCAGCACACAGCAGGACTGCTGAGGCACCTCTGCAGAAAGCACTATGTTGACAATGGCTGCCAGATACGCAGTCTTCCAGCATGGTTACCAACCAATTCAAAGCCAGACACACAGCCTTTCAGCATGGTTAGCAGCCACTTCAAAGCACAAGGTGCTACGCAAAGATCCTTCAATAAATGTTTTCTACTTATATTACGTGAGTTGACATCATCTGTTTGGAAACTCAGAACTCTGATTTAGGATCTGTTCTGATATTGACAGTACGCAAGTATACACACACATGCAAACACCTTGCTTTTCTACTTTCACAAACAGACTCACACTGTATATACCACTAAAAAAATCCGTATTCGTATTCTATTATCTTCTTAGCAATATATATTGACCATTCTTCAAGCCATATTTGTAAGTTTTAAAAACTGTTAAACTGAGTAGTGCTAAATCACTGATGTATTACTGAGGATTGTCATTCCTTGTGTGTTTATTTGTGCTATTTCCAGTCCAATCACATATCAGCAACCAGAACCTAAGAGAGTCACTCAGTCTTTTAAAAGATTAATATATCTAAATAAATAACAAAATGGAGAAAATTTATTAAGTCTTTTATAGGTAAGTGTTGGAGTAAAGAAAATTTTCGGGGCTAGAGAGATGGCTCAGAGTTAAGAGCACTGGTTGTTCTTCCAAAGGTCCTGAGTTCAACTCCCAGCAGTCACATGATGGCTCACAACCATCTGTAATGTGATCTGTTGCCCTCTTCCTGCCTGCAGGCATACATACAGACAGAACATAATAAATAAATAAACCTAAAAAAATTTTCCACCCCTCTTTATATGTTCTCTCCATGTAACTTTCTCTCTTACTAAAAGTCAAGCAACATCTATAATGCAACAGGCAATTGTTCAGATTAACAATTCAAGAGACAATACTGACAAATCAGGTATAGAAAATTTTACCTTGGAGGATATAACTTAGAGTCAAACTCTCAGACAAAAAAAAAACAAACCTTACTCGGGGGTCTAACAGATGGCGAAAAAACACTACACCCCTAATTGGTATTGCTTGTTACTTCTAATTAACCATTTAACTAGACTGCCTGAGAACGCAGGCAAGGGCCAATAATGTTTTTGCCACATTCTCCCCCAGCCTTGAGGGTTGGGAGTTCAGATTCCTGCCTATTCCAAAGGGCTGTCTTTACAATGATGCCTGAAGGCTAAATGGTTCAATTTTGCTCTAAAACTCTAAAACTGTGACCTATTACTGTTGCTTCTCATTTAAATAACAAACCAAGTTTCCCTGACAGGCTTTCAAAGTAAGGCTGCCTGAACAGACTTATTTCAGCTGCTTTGAAAGACTCAAATGATGATTTCTAAATATTCCATAAAGCATTCCTATGGTTTTCTTCCCATTGCTACACTAAGAGTCTGCCTTTCTCTCTTTACGGGTGAGGCTAGTCCCGTTCCTAAGTGGCCACGTACAGGAGCTCTGGTTAGCTCATCCTCTCTCAGCGATTTGTAAAACTCTACAGGGATTTCTCAGTTGGATTGGAGACGCTCAAGGAAACTGAACAAATCTCCCTCTAGAACGCTTATTAATTAACTCTTTATGTCTCTGCCTCTAACTGCTCTTTACTGTCTGTCTCAGATTCAGCAGTCTGCATTTCTCAGGTCAGCCAAGAAAAAGCATGCTGAAGCTTGCTTTTAAATTTAAATCCTACCCTCTTAATTTTTCACGCTAAAAATCTCTCATCCTAACACAGAAACATTTCTTCAGCTGTCTAATTGTCTCCTTGTTAAACACCATCTACCCTACAGGTATAGACAGAAATGTAGCCACAAAGTATCTGTCCTTCTCAACTGATTTTTAAAAATATCTGAGCTCACATGTTCTTTGTTACCCTCACAACAGTATAAAATACTTTTTTTTTTCTTTCCTTTACCTATAAAGGAGTTGTTTTGGTCTCTTTATTGTGCCTGATTTAGCTCATGATACATTATAAAGGATTCATAATTACCAATATCATTACATATTGTATTTCTGGGTAATAACTTTTGTTTCCATATTAAAATAAATTCATTATTACCTTTTAGGCTAAATTTAATGGAGATAAAATATAAGGGTACAAGTTTATAAGGCAATTAACTTATAAATTGCTAACAATAACCTTACTTAAATCATAAACTATTAAAAATAAGCCTAATGATTAATTATCTAAACAACTGTTTGGATAATTTATTTAATTATTGTAACAATATATTATATATATAATATAGTCATATGATATATGGTATATATAAATATATGTAATAATAAACTTGAAAAATAAATTTACTTTAACTGTAAACTAAACAACTTATTAATAAAAAATTTTACTTGATTTATAAGCTAAAAACTTTTCTACTTAATTTATAAGCTATTATTAGTTAAAAATACAAATTATTGACTAATCTTATAAAAATTATTCAAATACATTCAAGTAATCTTTGAATATATTCTCTTATATATGTTTATATATTTATAAACATATTATTATTGATATCAATAACTCCTTATAAGCAAAACTATGCCTTGTTCTAGTTTCTGCAAAAGCTTTATTCTAATTATATATACTTTGGAGTCAAATGCCCTTCTTTATCTACTAAAAAGACAGGGTAAATTCCCCACATTACTACTTTCCAAAAATAATTTCAAAAATTTAACATCGATAATCATTACAGTGAATGCACAGCTGACAGACCAATAGGCAGAACCACGGGCAGTGTGTACGAACTCGTCCACATGGGATAACCCATTCTGCAGAGCTGCGGGAACACTTATCTTTTGGAAAAGTCGTGGTAGTATCTGTGGAAACCTTGTGAAGCCATGATGCTTCCCTTCAAGATGGGAGTCGTTCCCAAAACATCTCAGCAGTATGACTTCTGCTCGGGCATTGGAGTAACCTTGCTCCATTAACCCACACCATGAGGCCTTGCTCTAACAGTCAAATTTACATAGAGTCAGTCCCACAAAATTACCTGCTAACAGACTACATAGAAATTTCTAAAGAAGACAGGCACAGACCTGGAAGGCAGCATGCTCCACCTTTGCTAACAAACAGATCTGGGTGTCCCCAAAACTGGTTATCATAAAAGAGATTAGATGAGGAGAATGGGTGAATCCAGGATTCAGGAATGTGTAGTAACTTTATCTATTGGTTTGGAATGTCAGGTACTTCCCCTTGAATGCTGGCTCTTTCCTAAGCCGGGCCACCTACTCAGGTATACTCTGCTTTATCAGGTTCTACCTACCCCTTTTTGTGATTTCGATATTCATATTATCATTGTTCTTGCCTATGGAATTTCCCA